TTGTTTGGGGTCTTCTAATGCCTGATACCTGACTCCGTTGACACCTCGTGATCACACAGGCTGGTGTGCTTCTTCCATGTGGGCTTTGTTGCTTCCCTGCTAGATGGCCACCTGTTTAACTTCAAGCTTTTAAAACCCCACATGCTCTATCTTCTAATAGCCGGGCTCCATCAGCTTCTTAGCACATTTGCTTATGCACCCATTTTGTCTTTAGTGATTGTGTCATTCCCCATGCTACATATAAGAAAATTGATTCCTATAGTTCAAATTCAGAGACATGTTAATATTTACCAGGCTTTCAATAGGTAGTTAGGAAAGCAAAGAAACAATGAATAAGTTTATTAATACCATGGAATTCTGGTATAAAGTAAATATGCTTTTTTTTCTCAGATGATGTGAGACAGGTGTAATTCAAAGCTAGATCCACAGAATTGCTCAGTACAAGGCCTTTCTATAGTGCTACCTGGACGCTTGGAAATGGAGATGATATTAGAACTGGAAAATAAGAGATTCCTAGTTGATTTTTTATTTTGGCTGTGTTTTTTGCTTGAAGTACTATATTAGAAAACCTTTTTGACTTAGCTGACAACACATGGACTATTTTGTCACAGGCTCATAATTCGCTACACCCAGAAAGTGCCACAAGTGTCAACGCCAACTCTCGTGGAGACCTCAAGAGGCCTAGGAAGAGTGGGCACCAAGTGCTGCTCACTTCCTGAGGCACAGAAGATGCCCTGTGTAGAGGATCACGTGAGTCTTGAAAAATATGATCTAGTTAATAGTGTTGAACTTTTGCCTTTATGTACTAGCTTCCAAAGAAGGGGTAAGCTAAAGTGTTTGTGCCTGTATGTGACTTTAAGAGCAGCCAGGATTCACTTGGCTCTTTAGCTCTCCTACCCACTAAAATAGTGAGTTAGTAATCCCAAAGAAGGTAAATTGTTTGGGAGGAGCTGAGGGGAAGAGGGAGGGAGCTTGAATTTTTATACTTAACAATCTGGTATCTTTCTACCTTTTTTCACTTTCATTGGTGTCTTCTTCCCCAAGGCAACCATCTCAGGACTCACTCATTTTGTTTTTCTCAAGTGTCTTCTCAGGTGTATTGCTCTTCAAATGCAGATGTGCTTAGAAGAGAAAGTACTTTCAAAAGTCCCTTCCTGTTGTGGTCTTTTTTAGAAATCATTTTATTATGGGCTCATACAGCTCTTATCACAATCCATACATACATCAATTGTATAAAGCACATTTGCACATTCGTTACCCTCGTCATTCTCAAAATATTTGCTCTCCACCTAAGCCCCTGGAATCAGCTCCTTATTTTTCCCTCTCTCTCCCTGCTCCCCCCTCACTCATGGACCCTTGATCATTTATAAAATTACTGTTTTGTCCCATATTACACTGTCTGACGTCTTCCTTCACCCACTTTTCTGTTGTCCATCCCCCAGGGAGGAGGTCACATGTGGATCTCTGTAATTGATTCCCCCTTTCCAACCCACCCTCCCTCCAGCCTCCCAGTATCACCTCTCTCATCACTGGTCTGAAGTTATCATCC